TTGCTGGAGGTTTTTGTAGTAGGTGTTGAAAGACCAACAATTTTAAACAGTGCAGAAACAAATCCATGGAGAAAAAAAAGAAAAGTCATTTAACTGGTTTAACAGAGGCCCATATAGCCTTTGACTTAAACTCTCCACCCTCAGATTTCTGGAAGACTCTGCTTTTTCTGTGATTACTGTTTGTTTTCCCTATTTTTGTATACTTCCTAGGGAATTGCTTCTTGCCCTTGTCAGCGAGGGCACGTGCACTAGAGGGATGTTTAGTCTGTCCCTGTGAAATCATTCTTGTTGCAGTAGATTCTAAGAGAAAAGCTTGCTACTTTTCCCTCATTTTCAAGAGTCTCTGCATGTGGGAGTCTTGGAGTTTGAGAACTGGATCTGAGTGGTTTTATTTCTCTGTTAGCCCTGAGCTGTGCTTTAGTTAACAGCTTCAGTACCTGTGGCCACTCTGCTCCAAATATAGAAACAAAGTTAGCTGTTTTGCAGACATTTCAATATATGTTTAGCTTTATTTGTACTCTTTTGATATTTGTGCTACATTAGTCCAGTAAGTGCTATGCTAAAGGCTGTGCATCTTTGTTCATCTCTGTTCATTTATTCTCTTGTTCAGTGTTTTTTGCAGCAGATGAGTACAAAGATATTTCCATGGATTCTTTTTTCCCTCCACTCCTCCTTTAAGTGCCTTTGAAAGAAATTGCATAAGCTTCTGCAGTTGCCACACTGGCACAGTAGTCTAAAGTTATTCTCTTTTAGTGTTAGCTACTTTCTTTGGGCAGCAAAACAATCTTCACTGCAGTTTATTCCTTTCAGCAACTCACCACTACAGTTGAAGGCTAACAGCTCTGTTTTTCCAGCCCAAGTAATTGCTATTCACAAGTACTCATTTTGAATAACTGTATTAGCTCCTTGTCTGTGTTGAGTAGCAGTTCCTGCCCTACACACCTATCTGTTGAAATTTGGTTTGTTGAGGCAGATATGCACTTGTTTATTTGGATTTCTAAATGTTTAAATAGGTCAATGCAAGAGACCTAAACTATAAATGAACAAAAAGCAGTGTAGCTGCTTACTGGTCACAGCTGAACTGGCTGACAGACTATCTTCTTAGTTCACTTGGCATCAGCAATTGCAGAGGAAATTAAGTTGTTCTACTTTTCTCAGTAAACATGTTTTAATGATTCTTCGGGCTACAAACTAATGCTGACTGTAAGAATGGACAAACTCAGACTCTTGCAGGTGACATCAGTTTAGTGACTGCTTAGTTCTGTGGGATAAACTGAATTAATTGCAACCCAGCAATCAGTCTTCAATCAAGTCACTGCCTTTCTGGGAAGTTCTATTTTTCAAAAGTCCTAAGGAGAAGCCTCTACAGTTGTGGAGGGAAAATATGTTGTTTCAGGAGCAGCATAGAACTGATGAAGCTATGTTTCGTATGGTTTTGTACCCTTTCCCACATGTTGCTCCAGTAGCCTCATCTTACCCCAGTTCCCAGATGAGAACCCTCATCAGGAGCCATCAGCACATGCTGTGGCTGCTTTGGAGCACTGTGTGTCCACACTGGCAGGCCAGACACCAATGGACAGTGTCTGCAATGGATCAGAGCCTCATTCCCCTCTCCATGTCTCTTTTACTTGAACAGAGATTTGTTCCAGAACTTTTAGGAACTTCCTGGGCCCATCTCTGAAACTCCAGCCCTTCTTTGGTTATTTCAGAGTCTTGGCAGAAGGTGGGGTAGAGCACTGCTCCATTAGCATTTCTTCCTAGGAAAAAAGATAAATTGCTATGATTTTCTTAATTATTTTTCAGATTTTCCATGTGGGCAAGTTACCAGATTATCAGATTTATTGTATTTGCCAATGTATAAAATATATATGATTTTTGTAGAGTGAAAGTTGACATTCCTTCTTCTATCTGGTAAATATTGTTAATTAAGCTTCATTAACCATACAGATTTAAATATTCCTGTGTGACAAAATAATAAACTTGAGAGAAGGCCTTTTGCATAATTCTTTAGATATCTTCAGAAACTGAAGGCCAGGAGGTTCCTTCTAAATATCAGGAAATTATTTTTTCTGTGAGAATGTCTGAACACTGGCATAGGTTGCCTAAGGAGGTTATAGAGTCTCCATCCTTGGAGATACTGAAAAGCCATCTGGACATGGTCCCAGGCAACCAGCTCTAGGTGGGCCTGTGTGAGGGCCCTGCTTGGCCAGATGATCTCCAGAGGTCCTCATCCTCATTCAGATCTCATCCATTCTATGGTTCTGTGAAATTTCATTTTTCTGCAGAGGTGTTCATGTCGCTGCAGGAATTCAGAGGCAGAGAGTTTATTCTCCTACTGCACAAGCTAACTTCACATCACAGAAAGTCAACAACACCTATGATGTTTTCAGTTTTCAACCTCAAGAGTGCAGGAACATTGGGGAGCTTTTTTGTTTTCTTTTACTCTCCTTTTGCTATGCAAAATTGATGTAGCTAAAATTGAAGATACATATTGAAATTGGCATTTGCTTCCAAGATAAACCCTTACCAAAGACTGAGGTATGATTAGTTTGGAAAATAAATACCACAGTTTATTTCTGGACAGCTAGAATTTGGTTACGTTGACGGGACCAGTTGTTGAAATCTGTTGGTCACACAGTGTTTCTTAATGAATTCCACTAGTTTATGCCAGTGGAAGAGCTTATGAATTTACACCACTGTTATTTAAATGGGGAACGCACACATAAACCCTGGGTCAATCTGCTTGTTTCCAGTACTGCTTCTTGAACTCTGTCAGGATTGGTGCTGTGACCACTTCCCTGGGGAGCCTGTTCCAATGCCCAGCCACCCTCTGGGTTAAGAACAAGAACCTTTTTCTAATATCCAACCTAAACCTCCCCTGACACAACTTCAGGCCATTGGGTCTTGGGTCCTGCTAGTGGTCACTATAGAGAAGAGATCAGTGCCTGCTCTTCCTCTCATGAGGAAGTTGTAGATAGACTTCAATGAGGTCTCCCCTCAGTCTCCTCTTCTTCAGGCTGAACAGACCAAGTGGCCTTAGCTGCTTCTCATACGGCTTCTTCTCAAGGCCCTTCACCATCTTTGTTGCCCTCCTTTGGGTGCTCTCTAACAGCTTGATATCTTTCCTTAATATCTTTTAATGTTGTGGTGCCCAAAACTGCACACAATATTCAAGGTGAGGCCACACCAGTGCAGAGCAGAGTGGGACAATCCCCTCCCTCAACCAGCTGGTGATGCTTTGCCTGATGCCCCCCAGGACACGGTTGGCCTTCCTGGCTACCAGGGCACTGCTGTCTTATATTCAACTTGCCATTGACCAGGACCCCCAGGTCCCTTTCTGTGGCACAGTTTTCCAGCATCTCATTCCACATTCTGTATGTACATCCAGGGTTGCCCCATCTCAGGTGTAGAATCTGGCACTTTCCTTTGTTGAATTTTATGTGTCTGGTGATTGCCCAGTCCTCTAATTTGTCAAAGTCTCTCTGCAGGGCCTCCCTGCCTTCAAGGGAGTCAGCAGCTCCTCCCAGTTTTGTATTGTCTACAGACTTGCTCAGTATCCCTTCCAGTCCTGTGTCCAAGTCATTTGTGAAGATATTGAAGATATTGAAGATATTGAAGAGTACAGGGACCAAGATGGAGCTCTGTGGAACCCCACTAATATCAGGTCACCCCAATCAGTATTACCCTCTGTGCTCCAACCGTGAACCACTTGCTCACCCACCACATGATGTGTTTATCCAACTGTGTGCTGGACATTCTGTCCAGAAGGATCCTGTGAGAGACAGTATTGAAAGCTATGCAGAAATCCCAAAAGATTACATCAACTGTCTTCCCTTGATCAGCTAGGTGGGTTACCTTGTCCTAAAATGAAATCAGGTTTGATAAGCAGGACTTTCCTCTCATGAAACCGTGCTGGCTGTGACCAATGACTGCATTGTCTTTCAGGTGTTTTTCACTACTTCCCAGAATAATACACACACTGAACACTTCAGTGCTCACAGACTGACGGGCCTATATTTTCCGCGGTCCTTTGTCTTGCCCTCCTTGAAAATCAGGACAACATTCACCAGCTTCCAGTCAGCTGGGACCTCTTGGGATTCCCGAGACTGCTCAAAAGTCATTGAGAGAGGTTTTGTGATGACATCAACCAGCCCTTTGATGATTATGGGATGAATCCCATTAGGCCCCATGGATTTGTAGGGATCTAGCTGGAGCAGCAGATCCCGCACAATTTAAGGGTCAGCTGGGAGTTGATCATTCTCGCAGTCATGTGCAATGCTTGAACTTGAAGAACATGCAGCGGTGACTCATCTCTGTGTGCTGTCACTTGGGCAACCTGTGTCTGACTGGTACAGCCATAGCCCATTGAACATTCTACAGGGGGCATGGCTGACCCCTTCTCAACATCTGTACAGTTAGAAAGTGTTTCAGTGGGCCTAAGCTTCCATGTGGTAGTAATCTTTATCAACAATAGTCTTTTCTTTTGGCATAGAACAGTAAGTGAGATGCAGTTGGGGGGGAAAAAAAGCAAGACAAAGGCATACAGACTTTCAAGAGTCAGTCAGAAAATTGTAAAGCACTGTACAGTAAATAAAAGTATAATTAAGAAAATTAACATGCAAAACAGTTTGTGCTATATAGTCTAAAGCCTTCCTGATACTCTGAGCAAGGTCACAAAGGGAGTAGCTTAATTCATATCAACAGGTAAACTAGGTAGGGAGAGGAAGGAACTTCCCTTAGTAGTAAGCAGAATACTTGTGACTTGGTGTCAGCTGGGAGTTTCAGTTGGGGCAGATACTCAAGAACTGTCCTGTGCTTGCCTCCCACTGTTCTTCTTGGAAACAGTGCAGTCAACCTGCCAAGCGGCTTCCAGGCATCTGACTCGTGGAGTGATCCATGCAATAGAACTGAGACTCGAAACAAATACTGCCTAAAAGTACTCCAAGTGATGTAGTTTTATTCACTTAGTCAAAACTAATTATTCCTTTCATTTATTTTAGATACTGAGTGTATTTTGGAACCTTTGTCTCTGCCAGAAAGTCCAGGTGGCGTTGATGCTGTAGAAAGTTCTCCCTGCGTGCCTTGCATTTTCTGCAAAGAGTGCTATCTCTTAGCAGAACAAAGCCAGCTCCTGAAGCACATGATTATTGAACACAAGCTCGTCATAGCAGATGTGAAACTGGTTGCAGATTTTAGAAGGTAAGGGTTATATCATTTAAAATGAGTGTGTATGTGTGCAGATGTTACAGAAAGCTTTGGAAAAGTAGAGATCATCTTTTTAAAAAGACATTGTGAGAAGATATGTTACCTTTTTTTATAAGCTCTTTGCTGCTGGGCGTTAAGGTTGTTTACCCATTACCTTCCCACTCCCCAGCCCCTAGATGTTTCTGGAACTAAAGGGCTCAATTTTAGAATGCATGGCAATTCCTTTGTTAGACATTCTTTGACGTATCCTATGGACTTCTCAGGTCCTGTCACTAATCAACAAGTTGTGTGCAAACTAGAAATCTGTCTTTTTAGTAAAGCACAATCCAGACAATTAGCTCTCCTAATTTGGCGGTTTATTTGTATAGGACAAGACTACATCTACTGCTGTTCAATGTCCTAAAGCTGTGTATTATACACAGAAGCTGCTCAGTACAGGATCTTCCACATTCTAAGATGAAATTAATTTGTGTTTTGATAAGGTTGCCATTGAAATCACATTTAATCCTTAACTTTAAGTACTGTAATCTACATACCACTGTAACTCCTTCTACAGCTGTGTCATTGATCATCTCAGCAGGGTCACATTTGGCTTTCTCTCTCTTAACTTCCTCCAGTAGCTGGCATAGCCCCAGCTGGCTTCTGACTTCAGAGACCAGGCACTTGCTTGACATTTTGCTTTCACCCACAGTAATGTATGAGCCAGGAGGAAGGCTAGACAGTACCTGCCAGTCCGTAGATAGTTCTGTTGCAGTGTTCAAATGTTAGCTGGATAATTTCTCAACTAAAATGAGTTTTCTAGTAGGTTGTCTGTTATTAGTTACTCAGCCAAAGCAAGTAAATTGTGTCTTTGAAGATCCAAAAAAAAGAAACAATACAATGTAATTTAGGAAGAAAAATGTAAACCATATAAATCTGTAATCACATGTTTGAGCTTAACATTGCTTAAAATTGAAAACTGATAGTTGTTTTTGTTCGCTTTTGTGCTGAAGGCAGACAGAAGAAGAATGTACTGTTCTTTGGAGATAGTACTAATATCTTCAGGTAAATAAAGGAATCAGAGCAGCTCAGTCATGGACTGCCAGTTTAAGTGTCCTTGAGGGAATTATTTTGTATTAATAGAAATGTATTTTAAAATCACCTTTTCAAGAAAATGCCCATTTAAAGTCTCTTTGCTGCTAGCTCACTTGGAAGGTAGCCAAATCTTATAATAAGGGGCCCCAGGATGTGAAATGATAGAGTTGTTACTCTGAAGTGTGCTTTCTCTAATTTGCAATATCAGTAAAATGGTCTAATAGTATGCACAAAAAAGTGAGTATATTCTGAAGTGTTGAACTGAGGTGTGGAAAATACAGGGAATCAACTCGTAAAACATAATATTATTTTTATACCTAGCAATGAGCTACAGCCAGTCTTGGGAACAGATTTCTTGACAGAACTGCAAGAAATGGATAATCCAGAAAAGACCGGTACTAATGGAAAGCTTCTTTTTTTCTTTTTTTTTTCTTTTTTTTCCTTTTTTTTTCTTTTTTTTTTTTACTTTGAAGAATAAAGAGAAGTTAGCACAAGGGGAAGAGATAAGGGGAATAAGCTTATGCTGTATGACTCAACATGATCACTCATTCTGTCTCCCTGGAAGTATGACAAGGCATTGGTTTTATTTGGTCATTGATTATTTGGGTTAAGTCTTATGATGTGAAATCCCTTAACAGTAGTGTTCTTGGCACAGACAGTTATGGTTAGGTGAGTTTGTACCAGTGTTCATTTCTCTCAGTGCGGGGGACAAACATTTAATAAATGAGCTCTTGAAATCTCTTCATTTGCACATTTAAGTCCTAAAAGCTCAAGGATGACTTATTCTGGAAGACTTGCTGTTCTGGGTAGCAGCAAGACTGTTTCAGTGTGCATTATAAACAGTGGAGTGGGCAAGGGAACAACAAAACACACCTCTCAGTTACTGACATCTAATGATGCTGCTGAATGAGCTTCAGCTGTGCATTCTGGCTTCAGTGTGCTTAGCTGTCTGCTGTACCAGAGGTTAGTGGCACAATTAGCAGAAACAAATATGTGCTGATTCCTTGGCTGCTGTGGTTGAAGTCCTTATATATTAAATTAGATGATAAATAGAGGTAATGTGAGCCGCCATGGGATGTGATAGCTGTGGCAAGTAAACTTACAGATTGTACAAGTATTAAAAGCTGCAACTGTTTAGAGATACCCTCATAATAATATCTGATTTTTTAATGATTCTTTTCCTAATTTAATTGCACATAATAAGAAGCTATCAATGAATAGTTAGCCTTTACCTTATCAGCTCTCCCATGATTTTTATCATACATGAGTCATAAGTTTAAATATAAGCAAGTATTTAAGCATTTTCAGATTATTTTTAATAGTAAAATTCCAAATAATTAGCACAAGGATTGCTTGGTTCCCTTCATGTCATGTAAGTGAAGTGATGATTTCTTCTTGGTTATACAGTAGGTTCCTAGTTCATTGAAATCTAATCTCAGTTGGGGTCTATTGGTGCAGCTGTAATACAAACAGTGATAGTACAGAATGTTTTTAAACAACTGTAGTTGATGGGTTAAACCTTCAAGATGTGTTTAGGGCTTTTCTTATTCTGTCTACTATCCCACCCCTAGGTGTTCAGGGACTTAATTTTTCTGTCTTTCTAGTTGTCTGCCAAGCTACAGCTTTCAATGTAACTCCACAGGAGACCTGCCAAAACCTCACTTTTGTCAAGTTGATGTTTTTACTGAGTTTCAGATTCCTGACTGTATCTTGCAGAACACAGAGCACAATATTTTGGGAATTGGAGAGTGCTCTGTAGTCTATCTTTTCAGTAAAGATGCATCTGGCACTTCTGTCTGAAGATGTGAATAGGTCACAGTGTTTATGCAAAGCGTGGTACAAATCTGCTTATTGAGTTCCTCACTCTGATAGCATGGTTAAACTTGTTTAAGGGAAACTGAATTAATTTCATAAAATTGAGAACTAAAATAAAGGAAGCAAAACCAGAGAAAAGAATTAAAAAAAAAAATCACAAAACACTTAGGAATTTAGAGGATGGAAAAAAAAAGAGCTGATTAACTGTTTATTGAACTTTCTTGGTGTTTCTTTTTTCACTGATCATCTCCCCCTTATTTTTAAAGCTACATCTTGTACTGGAAGAAAAGGTTTGCAGAACAGCCTATCACAGACTTTTGTAGTGTGATAAGAACAAATTCAAAAGCACCATTAGGTAAGTGTGCTGCTTGCTTGCTCTCTGATGGCCAGATCATGTGATAATTTCTAACATATACTGCTGCTTTGATGAGCCAAGTGTGTCTGACACTAGGTCAGAAAAATGTTTAACCACATATTTAAACTTGCCTTTTCCAGGATTATAGCACGTTCTTCAGCACTGTGCTAAGTGAGGATGAGCTCAATACATGCCTAAGAGCACTGTGCATTGGGGCCTGTTGCTTGTCAAGGCAGTGCCACTTACATCATGGCTGGGGAAGTGTCAGTACCTGCTGCATAAATAACTGGTGACAGTCCTTCCAGAAATGATGAGAAGCATTCCCAATGTCTTTTCTGACTTCACCCTGTCCACCATCCCTTCTGATGCTGTTAATTTTTCCTGGACATCAGGGCCACAGTTACCCTTCCCTTCCCCTACCATGTTACTTACTGCCCCAAGGGTATTAGGAGACAATATCTTCATGGAAGGGGTACAAAAACTGCAATTTTCTGAGTTCCAACACGAGACCAAAGACCATACTTCAGCATTCTGCTATGTTGGCATGGTGGAATATTCCATCATGAAGACAGTGTTGACTGTATGAAAGAAGTGTTTCTCTGAGAAGTAGCTGAGGCATTATTTTGTCTTCCCTTTTCTAACAGATCAATGGAGTTTACCTAAAAGCAAATAAGAATATTAGGGCTTTTCTGCTTCTTTCATTCTCCATGGAGACCTTAAAAGAGAGGAAGCAAGGCATGCAACTGGTGTCCAAGATGCGTGGAAGGTGAAAACTGAGTACAAAATGGCTGAAAGTAATTTTTTTTTTTATTAGTCAAAATAATTTTAAGAAAAGTAGTCCTACAGAACATGAAAATCATGCAAAAAATCGTAATTCTGTTTCTCCTACATATGTATGGTTTTGCTTCTGAAATTTTAACACTTAGCACTCAGTTTGAAAATTGCAAATCAAGCACCTGAACACCAGAACTGTAAGATTCTGTGACCCTTCCAGAGAACAGTGAGAATACTTTGTTATTTGTTTGTTAAAAAATGTGTTTATTTTAGTGGACACCTCCTTCAAATTTGATAGCACAGAAATCAGGGTGTTTGTCTTACTTCACACAGGCTTCATGTAAAAAAAGATGGGAAAGGATAAAATTCAGTCAAGCTTAAAATTGTAAAAGACTTAAAAATGGAGGCTTCAGTTCACCAACCACATAACCCTTTGTCCCGGTTCTGGCCCAGATCAGTGGGAAGGGGCATGGCCAAGACAATGTGTTATTCAATACCACCTTATGTCATTGCCAGGGACTGGGAAAAAGGGACTCTCTCTTGCTTCTAAGAAGGAGGACATTCCTTTTCAGTCAGGGGAAAGTGTGGTGTTGTGGGAAGAGCCATTTGGTACTTTGTCAAAGCCTTTCCATCTAAAATTCTTTCTTTGTCTTTCTTATACCTTTTGCTATTAATATTGTTGTTGTTACTGTTCATTTTCTTATCTCGTTGCTGTTTCCAGTAAATTGTTCTTATCTCAACCCTTGATCTTTGCAATTTGTGCCTTTTTTGTATTTTCTTACATGCTGAGTCACTTTAATGTAATTTCTTTGAATCAGACTTGTTGTCTTATTAAATTGGATATGACCATAAATCGTAAAAAGATTAGTAAACATAAAATATGTATAAAACATGTAAGTAGAAATGTAAATTAGGCAAGTCTCAATGCATGCTGCTATAGCAAAGAGTTGTAGTGCATATCTGCAGATGCAGAAAGATCTGATGGTAAAAAGTAATATGATAGGTCAGAGCAAGGGGAGGATAAACCAAATAATTACAGCTACTGAAAACTGGCAGTTACTTTTGGAAATAACTAAAAATCTCACATACAAGATAAAATTAAAGGTGATTTCATGTTTCTTTCATGCTGACTTTAATCTGTAACCAATATAAATTATAATTGTTTTATGCCTCCAGAAGATTGTAACAATCAGAACCATCATAAAAATTAATAAAGCTGGTAGTGAAGAAAAGCTATATAAGACTTTTGTCTTTATACTGCAATATAAATATGTATATAGAAATATTTAAGCATGTTTCATTAAATTATGAAATTAAAATAACTGACTTTTCTAGATTAAAAGTCGTAGTCTTACATTCTTAACACATTCCAAAGGTTTAGCAAATTATGTGTCAGAAATATTCGAAGCAGCTGCAACTTTTCATTCCTTACTCACACTTTCTAATCTCTTAACAGAAGAACAGGACAATTATTTTCTTTTATGTGATGTTTTACCAGAAGACAGATTACTCAGAGAACAGCTTCAGCAAAAAAGACTGGTAAGAAATTACTGTTGTTTCAGTTTTTAAGGTAAATGGTCCAATAGAGTAATATGTGGTAACTTAGGCATTTTAAAGTGAAATCATTTTTTGCTAGATTACAAAATTCTGCCTTTTTTTTTTTTTAAGCTAATTTCCCTAGCTGTTGCACAGATATACAGAAACCCCCTGTTTATGGATATTTCCTTGGAACAAAATTGCAGGTTGTGTGTCAGTATTGCACACAACTGGAAAATAAGCTCATAGCACTGCAAAAGTCTGAGTGTGCTGAACATTTTTCTTCTTGCAAGGATCTGCAATGCATTGACACACTGTTTGTTGTATAATAATATACATCTGGGGAAATTAGCAAAATAAAACTCAGTGTACAGTACTGTGAAAAGGGAAAGTGATATATATTTACAAAATCTTCAAGCAAGTTGACAATATGCATTCACACTCTCTTTCTCAGAGTTCATTAATTCACACTTTCATACTCACAAGCACCATAGTGTGTGAGTGGAGGAAGTCTGGCAGTATTGTTTCTGTGAGATGCAAAGGACAAGAAATGCAAGCTGTAGAGCCCACATGAACTGCTCTGGTTCTTCTTGCCCAGTGATGAAAACCCAATACTTTGGACAGACCTTGCTTAACTTCTAGGCATTGTCAGTTCTGAATAGGTGGTCCTTCAAGTTGAGCTCTTGCTGACCAGCATCTAGGAGTTTTAGTCCAGGTTGTTGAACAATGGGGGGTTTTTTGTTTGCTTGTTTGAAATACACATCTGGACTCTGATTTCACTGTTGGGCTATTTTAAAAATGAACGTTATGTGATACATAGCAGCCCTGTTGACAGTCTCCCCATGTTAGGATGCCAGGTCTTCTAATGGCAATTGATCTGTACTGTGAGGTGTTAGAGTGCAGGCCTTATGGTCTTTACATAAATAAATTCCTCACTTTACTACTGGCAGCTATGCCCTGGGAATTGGCAACGCAGGCCTTTTAACCCTTCATTATGCTGTTTCTTCTGGTATATTACAATTTTTTACATACACAGTATGTAACTAAAGACACCTTAAACGATAAGCATTAAGAATCAAGGAGAAGCAAAACCCACATTGTAGTCCCCAAGAAAGTTGGGATTGGCAGGCAAAAATCCAGTCAGTTCAACTACTCTGAGAGTGTTACTTCAGTTTGCTGGCTAAAGTAATATTTTTCAGCTCACTGCACATGACTAGTGAATCCCCAGAACTGGAGGAATACGTATAAGTCTTACACAGGTTTCCATAGGATCCAAGCCCTTGCAAAGAAGAAATGCGGTAGTTCAGCCACCAGGGATTTCCCATTGAGTTGTCATTGCCTTAGCTGAAATTTGCATTCCTGTGTAGGTCTCTTGCACTGGCATGGCAAACAGGAGAGGCAGTCATGCCAGTTCATCCTGAGAGGCACCATCCAGGATCTGTAAAAAAGGTTTATCAGTATCTTATCCATGACAGCAGCTAAGTATCTGTGGTATTTGCCCTCTTCTGATCTAGTGGTGATTCTTTCTCGAAATATTCACCTAGACTCCTGCAATTGACAGCTCAAGAATTTCCTAATTCAGCAACATGAACCAACTCTGAACTTCCAGGATCCCCAGCTCCCTACAGTAGTGAGTTGCACAGCTTAACTACACTCTGGGAGAGATCTGTCTGTTTGGTCCTTTTGAACCTGTCTTGCCATGCTGGCTGGTTTTTGTATGAGAAGAGGTAGTGAACAGTTTGTCCTTAGTCTCATCCAACTGTTCCTGATTTATCTCCTGGTCTACCTGCCTTACATTGTGTCTTTAGTTAGTCCTGTGCTGGAGCACACACTCACGGCAAAGAAGGACAACAGCGTCCTGGGCTATATTAGGAAGAGTGTTGCCATCCAGTCAAGGGACATGATTCTTTCTCTCTGCTCAGCACTACTGAGACACCATCTGAAGTGCTGGATCCAGTGCAGGGCTCACCAGCACAGGAAAGCAACTCCAGTGCGGGGTCACAGAGACTCTTAAGGGACTGCCACATCCTTCATAAAAGGAGAGGCTGAGAGAACTTGGACTGTTAAGTCTGCAAGACAAAGCTCAGGAGGAAACTTAGTGATGTATATAAATACTTGATGGGAACGAAGAAGAGGGAGTCAGATTCTTCTCAGTAATGCCCACCAACAGGACAAGAGACAAGGGGCATGAATTAAAAATCAGGAAATTACCTCTGAAAACAAAAAAACCCCACTTTTTTACTGTGAGGGTGGTCAAACACTAGAACAAGATGCCCTGAAGGTTTGTAGACTCTTCATCTGTGGAGACAGTCAAAACACATTCCTGGGTAACAAGCTAAAGTTGCCCTTGTTTGGACATGGGGCTTGCACTTATTGCTCTCATGAGGTACTTTGCAATTTCAGCAGTTTGGTGATTTGAGGTTGAGGATGCTGTCTGTTTGGTGGTTCTTCACTGTGCCTCATTGTTGCACTTCTCTGTATCTTTTCCAGTTTCCTACAGTCCCTTTGGGTTTATGAGAGATGTTTTGAATATTGTATGTGGGTATGCAGTGTCATAATGATGTTCGTTTCCCAAGCATATATCATGTTCTTTGTAGGAAGGAAAGAGGGTTGTGATTGAGCATGCAGCTGATGTTTTCATAAAACTGTCTAATTATAATTATACCTCCTGGCTGCTACAAATTGGGCTGTACTTTTTCTTTTTTTAAAGGGCATTTGTTTCTGATTTTGTGGTGTTTTGTGCTATGCAGTCCTAGTGCACCACTTCAATTTATGAAGGCCTATTCCAACTAGGCTTTCTCTCCACTGCCATTGTCAAGGGAATGTGGAGTCTGTTGGCTGGTGAGCAATCTCATCTCCTCTGCAAATAGACATTTCCTCAAACTCAGGAAAGAGTGGAGGATTTAGCCCAAAGCAAGTGCTGGTTTTGTTTACAAAGTAATTAAGTTAGAAAATAAAGAAATATGCATTCTTATTATGGTGTTAAATAGTTTGCAGTTATCACTGTTTTCAATATCAGAATTGTGTCCTGTTTTTACAGAAGGATTTTGTGAAATCAAGCTGCAGCTGTAGTTGGGGCTAATGGAGTCACTGCTTTAGTTACAGCAATAAAGTCCATTTTTTCATTTCCTTTTGCTGCAATCTGAGCGTTGACTTGCAAGTTAAATAGTTATTTTGCTTTGCAAAGCCTTTTACCTCCAGACAAGTCCAGCAATTAAGAGTGAGCTGGCAAATGGGCTTGTGTGAATTTCGTACAATAAAGACCAGAACTACTTTTGGTGATTTTTCTGCAGCCTTTGAATCCTTACTGCTGTCTCCAACAGCAAGCCCAAACAAGGACAAATATTGTCTTTAAAATGTGCTGGCTGAAGCATTTCATTTTGCAGTTTTGAAACTCCACTTCAGGAATATTTCAGGCTGTATTGCAGCAGGGGAGCTAGCCAAGGTGGATGTCATGCAGAGACATTATGGTGACTGTGATGTATTGAGAGAGTCCAAGGAATGAGCCTGAACTAGGTTAGAGAGCGCAGCTTGCTGAAATAGCTGACAAGGCTATGTAGTACAAAACAGACACAGTCTTTCGTTAAAAAACTCAGTCTTGACAAAGAATTCCTAGTTGTGAAGCAGTACCAGGCGAGGAAGTCCTGGCAGCAAAACTTGAGATACTTGGAGGGGCAGTGTCAATATAAGCCACTTGGACTTTTCCTTAAGATTTGTTTTAAAAAGGTAAAACCCCCAAACCTATTTTTTTGAAAATAACATACTTCCTACAACAGCACTAACCTTATCTTGCTGTCATGTTTACCTGTTATTTGACTGGTAGTTTTAGGTGAAGAGGCTACTCTTCCTCCCAGTAAATAAAGACCCTGAAGAGGAGTCTTCACCAAGACTGCAAGCTATACCAGCTTCCCAGGAAGAGCTGTTCATATGGTCCCAAGTTTGTCACCATCTTAAGCTGAGACAAGGTTGAGGAGGTTGAGGCTACACACTGGACAGGGTGGAGCTGTTAGCCTAATTTAGTTTAATGCAACATCAGAAGTGCTTACAGAGTAGCTAGTAATGTTAGGATGTTAATACCTCCTTCTGCCATTCTATAGGTCATTCTTTACCTATGTTTGGTATTTAATTGCTTTTCTCAAGCACTGTGGAATCTGGCCAACCCTTTATGGGTTTATGAAGACTTGTCACACTAAAGGCCAGAAATAGTTTTATCTAACTTCATAATGACTGTTGCGTAAATTCTGTCAGATCTGAATATGTATAACATCTAGCTTTTAAGCCTTTTTTAGCCTTTACTTATCTTGTTTCTTTGTTTCTTTTGTTTTAAATGCATTTCATAAACAGTTGTGTTGTAATTACCTTCCTACAAAGACTGAAGCCCTGAATATTGCAAACATTCTTTGTTTGTGTTTAGTCTCTTCCTACTTTGGACATTTGCTTTTCTTTGTTGTTTATTTCTAATGTATTTGGGGGTGGGGAGAGGTAATTTTTCCGCTACTCTATTTTACTGTGTTAACCTCTCCATCTTCTTTTTATTGTCTTAGTTCAAACAAACTTCACCTTTCTGCTGCTTCAGCTTGGCAGCCTGTGGTACATGTCTACTATAATTTCAGCCCTCTTTTCTTTTCATACATCTTCACACAGTTTTCAATCATACAATGAAACTCTTTCTCTCTTTTCCAGACATATACTCTGATTTTAGTAGTATTAATGAGTCTGCTGTCATAACAGAAAGAATGTGACCTGTGACTGTGCACTCTTCACAACAGTGCAACTGAGTGCTCAGATTTTTGAGTCCTTCACACTGTAACAGTTATGAAGATTCCCTGTCAGAAGAACATCTTTAGGCAAAATACCTCCTCAGAGGTTCTAATACCATTTATAAAAAGTTTTCACTGGACCTTCTCCCAAGTGATCATTTGTATAACATGCTGTCTTTCTAGCTGTTTGACTAGAGAGGGGAGAGAGCAAAGGACCAGAGCTAGCAAAACAGATGCCAACAAGAACCCCAAAATACAAAATGCTCCTACCTCAATCCAGCAATACTGCAACACAATACTTAAAATTGAGACTACTTTTATGCTTATGCCTTTGGAATAGAAATTTTGCACTTTGCCTTGTTAGGGCTTATGGCACAAATTTAGTGCTTATGGCAGAAATCTTAAAAAAAGAAGAAGACACATGCTGCTGTTACCTCTGTTTTACAGACTAACCTTCAGAATCCATCCTCCACTGCACAAGCAGGTTCCTGTACTGAGGAATAAGCTTAGGTCTTACTGTAGTCACAAATTCACTTCACGATCTTGTCTCAAACTGCATAGTGCAATGTGCTTCTTTCTCAGAACTAGAGAACTACTTTCTGCCTTAATTTCTTATCTTTCATAAGTACTGTGATTATAAAAAGGACATATTTTGGGGAAAGAAATCCCATTTTTTGTCAGACAGCTCATGTAGCTGGAAAAAAACAGGCAAAATTTTGACAACAAATTCTTCATTTTGGAATCAAAAGTAGCAAAACGTGCTGATTACTAGTTGTGAACAATTGTTCTATGTCCATGATCCAAACCATGCATTTAAATAGCTACATAAGTTGTTTAAAAGGGCTTTGTTAGTAAAGAAACTTATGACACACAAAAACCCCAGTGATTGGACAGCAATAAAGATAATTTAGCAAGTGGGATATAGCATCTGTTGGAAAGAAGGGTAATAGGAATTACAATATCAGAAAAGTCTTATGTGCCATAAAACCAGCTGTCCTGAGTCCATAGCTTTTGACATTGAATGGAGTTAGTCTTACCTTTCGAATGCATTTTGTATGTCTTGAATATCTCTTGAGCTATAGACCAGAGATGAAGTAACTGTTTAGGGAAAAGTTCTTACTATCTGCAAGTGTGCCTTTTTCATCTTCTACTGATTATCAGTCTGAATTCTTGCTGATGCATAGTGTATAAGTGTTTCTGGATATAAAGCAGGTTATTTCTTCCAAAATATTTCTTCCCAGGAGAGGATCTGACCCTTTTTTTTTTTTCCAGGCACTTCTAAAATTACCCCCTCTTCAGCTCCTCCTCACGACCTCAAACTAAGCATTATGAATGTGTGGGACATTTTTCTGCAATCCAAGTTACAAATTGTGAAGCAAATTATCAAATTGATTTTAAATTAGCAGTTTAGTGTGCTGGTATATTTAAAGATGATTATCCTGCTTAATTCTTTTATTCATTATGGAAAATAATATATGTGCTTTTTCCTCAAGTGACTTCATCTTCTCATTCTCTGATACTTTGATATGACTCAGGATCTTAAAAAAGTTTTGGGAAATTTTCATGGCTAAAATGTTTTGGGTATTTTGTCTTAGCATCAACAATGCATTATTGCTGACCTCCCCAAAAATTTGGAGGGGTCGGAAGCTGGTGCAAGAATTTAAGTAAATTACTCATTTCCTGCCTGATAACTTCAGTTTTTGCTTGATTTTCATTGGGCTGAATGTCTCTGCTCAGAAAAAAATCTCAGAAGTTTTATGTAAGTTACTGTAATTGCTGTTTTTCCTTCAGAGTCCCAGCAGTGAAGTAGAGGGTTGGAAATGTCTATAGGGAAGAAGAGCAGCCCTGTTGCTTTTGCTGTATTTGACTCAAACCAGTGCTTTTAATTCCTCACCTGTGCAGGTATCATAATTCCTCTCTGGCTTGGAAAGTTCCCTCTAGCAACAAAAGATGCCAATATTAGATAAAAGTAGTGTCTACTCTGAAAAATACTGTGGGGTTAGTCAAAGCTTCCCAGCTGCCAAGCATGCTGGTGTAGAGGGAAATGGGAAGGGTGAAGGATGGAGCAGTAGCTTCGTTCATGTGGAGAATACAGTACGCTTCTCCTTCCTGCTCAGACATAACTGAGAGCAGCAGCTCACAAGGATTTCAGTAATCTGGAGTTAGGCAGCCAAATATTGCAGAAAACTTTTTTTCCCTCCTTGTAAATTAAAATCAGGAAGCTACATTGTAATATCATTAATGAGAGGTTGGGGGTGTTTGAACCCTTGCTATCCTTGTATTTAAATTGTACACATCTGTTTAGATTGTTTCCAATGTGTTCTACAAAGTAGGTGCTTTCAAATCCAAGGTTAGCCCAACAGCGTCAAACATGCTGTTGAGTGGTAAGAGTGGCAGCTACATGTACCAGAGAGAGCACTGGCGTGGTGTGGGATGTTTGCTGCCTGTGTGGAGCAGACAGATAATCTTACTTAATTGCATCTCTGCTGAAGAGCTCTAACAAGGTGTGTTATGCTCCATTTATCACTTTCCAGAGTCAGCCCTGAAAAACAGGAATATATATTTGTTTATTTGATGTTTAGCATAACACAGCAGGACATGAGTGGATATGACCTAAAATGTGAGTAGGTGCTGGTGGGCATGACTCCAACATAAAATGTACACCCTGTAGTACAAAAACAAACAGAAAAGTCCCAGCATCTCTATTTTCAGGGTAACAGACTCCTAGCTGATGTGCAACAGCTACAGCTCCCAGGTAGTGTGGCTGAATATGGGCCCTGGAAGCATCTGTGGCATGGTGCCCCATTTCCCCTGGCAGCCCCAGGCCAGGTGTACGTCAGGTGCCACACACTGCCGTGCTCTTGACAGGCATCCTTATCGCTCCACTGCCCCTCGCTGGGTGCAGCATGCTGTTCTTGTGGGAGAGAAACAGCACATTCATTTGCTCAGTGTCAGCCTCCTGCCACTTGTAACTGGGCAATGGGATGTGGTGTGGTACATCCCTCAACCAACCCATCCACTCTGCAGGCCCTTACTGACAATAGTTCAAGCCTTCCTCTTATATCTTTTAGGGCTGAGGGGGCTTGTCTTTCCTTTCTTTCTTTTCCTTCTTTTTTGACATCTATGGAGCTTATCCAACAGGTGCAGCTGAATGTAATTTAGAGGTAGACTATGGACAAATTTGGGCATTAATCCACATAAAAGAGTTACTAAAGAGGCAGGTGAGAAACACAAAGTTCCACTGCAGGCTCTAAGGAGATAAAGAGTTTGAGAAAATCCCTTCAGAAATTCAGTCAGGATCCTGAATGTCAGAAAGCAGACAGAATCACCTCTAAAGTTGCAGAGAAATTAAACCCTTTCCCAGTTATCAGTACGTAAAACACATGGGTGGATTATGACCTTTCTATCTGAAGTGCATAATAATTCCATGTGTAACATTGTTCCTGTTACAGCACCAGAGAAAAATCGTCTGCTGCTTGATTTTATTGTTGTTAGGAAAAGTGCATCCAGTGTTTTAAGGTGTCTGGCCTGGCCTGTTGCAGTGCTTTAAACAGAACCAGGGTGAAGGCAATCACCTTCTCCTCCTCCCCTGGTTGATATGTTCCATGACTTCTTACAGAAGCTGCCAGGGCTGTTGTCGCTGATCCCATATTATGAAAAAGCTTTCTAGGGTGCCTGCAATTAGGCACACAGAACTCAGTCTGTCATTCCAGTGGGTGTTAGGTGGTTACCCATAAACTTGCTCACTGATACCAGAGGTAAATATGAATCATTAACTGTTATGTTTTATACAGAATTATTTAAACTGCTGCATTACTGTGGATTGTATTGCTTTCCAGGCACCATGCATATAATGTTATGAGAATTTTACTAGAACTTGACTGGAGCACAAATTGTCTTTGAAAGAAGTTTTTGTGAGAATCTACACTTAGAAAATACTAACATCTGGTTTATGTCAGCAGCACATTTGAATTTTATGTGTTCATTTTTACCAGTGAGGGTAAAGACATATAATAAGCTTATGTGATGGAATGATTTTATGATTATGGTTTTATCTGAATAACTGTATCTGTTTCTTTTCATAGAGAGAAATTTTAGAGCAGCAACAACAAGAGAGATGTGATACAAATTTTCATAGTATGTGTATGTTCTGCGATCAAGAATTCACAGGAAACAGGTTTGTTTATTGTCCTGTTTACTTTTGGTGTATTTTTTTCATGTCTACTCATCACCTTTTTTTATGGTTTTAGTGTCATCAAACCAGTTACTGCCTAATGGTAGGACTTAGAAGATAGAAATAATTTTAAGGTATACTTTGAGTATTTTTTTCATCTGCAGTGCCATTTTAAATAGACTCTGTCGTACTTCTCAATCCTTTCTATTTATTCCAAAACAACTTTTCATACTACACAGTAAGCTGGAGTTGGGAACCAGATGTTTTAAAGAGAGACATTTTTTTTGGCAGTTATTTTAGTGGCAAGTGTTTTAGTTTAAGCCAGTATAACTGTTAAAAAATGTTTTTATCCTGTTGTACATTTTCCTATTTAAACCTCACCAAACAGTTTGAATTTGAATATCAAATGAAAAAGAGGAGAGAAAAATTAGAGTGAGAATGGAGCACTTTGTAGCATCAGTCAAGTGCAAGCAAGAATTGCATTGAGACACTTACTCTAAGGAAACATTGTGTAGTGGGTTGACCTTGGCTGGACGCCAGGTACCCACCCAGCCACTCTATCACTCTCCTTCCCAAGTGGACAGGGGAGAGAAAAAAAGGTGGAGAAAAACTCATAGATTGAGATAAAGCAGCTTATTAAAGCAGAAGCAAAAGTTTGCTCACACACAAGCAAAGAGGAAAAAAATTAGGTTTACTCTCTACTTCCCATCAGCAAGCAATGTTCAGCCACTTCCCGGGAAGCAGTGCTTCAACACATGTAGCACCTGCTCCAGAAGGCAAACACTGTAAATAATGAATGGCCCACTCCTTCCCCCTCCTTTCCTTAGCTTTTATATCTGAGCTGATGTCACAGCGTATGGAATATCTTTGGTAATTTCGGTCAGCTATCCTAGTTGTGTCCCCTCCCAGGATCTTGCCCACCTCCAACCACTTGATGGAGTGCGGGGGTGAAGTTGAGGGACAGTGCTGATGCTGTGCCATCACTGCTCAGGGATGATCTCCATCTCAGCCAGACCCAATACACTTTGTTCATAAACAGTAAATCAGTTTCAGCTGGAGAAGCTGAGTGTTTGCCTGGTTAGGTCTGGTACTCTGAAAGGGTAGGAGAACCTGAGGTCATATCCCTGCAGGTTGTCCCAGTGTTGTGTGAATGTCCTCTTCTCTTCACTGTTTGGTGAAGTTCACATCATTCATCCCCCAAGAACTTCATCCTCTGATTACTCTTTGGTCTGACACATAGAATGCATGGATTGAAAAAAGTGCTGGACTGTGGCAAAAGCAGGTATCAACACTCACATGTTTCTGTAGTCTCCAAAAGCAGAAGCTGAGGCATATTAAAGAAGTTGAGCACCTAACAAGTTAACCAGTATATCTCTATTAGAAAAATAGCTTATTTGAACATCCATTATGTTTGTTTGTGTGTAATTTTGAGTGCTGTTGTGTGTAGTTTTGAGTGCTATATGAAGCACTTTTATTGATGTAAAAGCATATCACGTCCAAGAATTTCTGCTCTTCCAACCAACACAGAGAAAACTGACAAATGGCTTTTTAAAATGTTTCTCAAGAGGGTTGTTTGAAATGTGATTTGCTTGTACAAGTTAATAAATGAGCTTTTTTAACAGTGAGAGTCAAAATGAACTATACTATAATTTTCATTTAAAGTATTATACTTTGTGTATGCAGAGTGAGCTGTTGAAATGTCGCTGAATATTCAGCAGAGCTGAAAATGATAACTTCCTGTTTCAATAAAGTTGCATTTTTTTCCTAGCAGTGGCAGCAAGACTATTATTCTTTATTTATTGTCGGCTTTTATGCATTTTTACAGCAGTTGGTGTATTTGAAATCACTAATTGAATAATTCTCATATTTATCTAAAAATATGTAATGGTCTATTTGAATGTCATTTCTAGGTCTGTCCTTCTCAATCATATGGCAAGAGAGCATGCTTTTAACATTGGGCTGCCAGATAATATTGTGAATTGCTATGAGTTTTTGGCTGTATTACAGGGGAAGCTTGACAAGTAAGTAGTGTTTGGTTTGGCTTTTTTCAATAAATGTGGGTCATATTTATTTTAACCTTGGAAATAGGTTAGGTTAAAATTAATTCAACTTTCATAGTTAGTTAAGAGGAAACAAAGACATCTTGTAAGTTTATTGTGAGTCCTCTTAGTCTTTTTTTTTTTGACTTACTGAAAATTAATTCATAACAATTCATAGTATGTGTTTGCTGGAAAAAGTCATGTGCAGTTCTTCACTTGTTACATATTGCACAATTTCCATCAATAACAGCACATGCCTTTTTCTCGTAACTGTTAGGTTAGTGTCCTTTCTCATCATAATAATCTTTTTGCTAAATGTCTCTTTAACCACTGAAAACAGAGTTCTTGTGTCAATGTTCATTCACCTCTGTGTATCGTGAATGTAGGATGTTTGGTTTCTCCCTTCTGTACTGCTTACAGAGTGCATGCCAGAGGGATAGATATATGATAACTTTTTCCAGAAATGTAGATGTATTAACAATACCTTTTCTTTTATCATTGGTCTTGCCTAATGCACTGAATTATCGTGCTCACTGGTAATTTGCAGCTTTCCGATTTATCGGTAAGACCTGAGGCTTTCAGTTAGATGGAGTTTTCTCAAAGCCAGTCCTCTCTGCAGTTAATACACACGCTGAAATTGTGTCCAGGAGTAGCAAAAGGCCACTCCTCCTGTCTCTAAGAATAGACTTAATTGCTGTGCTGGTAGAATAGTACCTGAATGTAAATCAAGAGGAAAAAAATCTTGTTTCAGGCAAATATGACTACATTATGTGTGCTGAGGAAAAGCATTACATACTATTCCTGGGAATGCCCTTCTCAAGCAGAGCAAATACTTTGCTGTTAGCAGATGGAGCAAAGCAGATATTAAAATTCACAGGTGTATTCTGCCGTTGGACCTATGATTCACCAACAAGGCAGTACTGATCTGAAGCCTGAAAGCACAAGTAGAAATCAAGACTTCTTAAATGTCTTGGAAGGCAAAAAGATACTGAGAATCCTGAACTGCTTCTCCATACAAAAAACCTGAAGGGAATCTGGAACCAAAACAGTTCTATTAGTGCTGATAGTAAGAGATAATGTAAGGCAGTGCATATACTTCTGTTTTGTTTTAATTGGTCTGGAAGACATACTGTGGTAACATTCTTGTTTGTTAATGAATGTTTTCACCTTGTCAAGTCATGTATATGTGCACACATATATGTAATACTTCATGTCTATGTACATATGTATATACGTATGTGCATATACTTATGTATATGTGTGTATACCCATATATGTGAAGTTTATATATATATATATGTGGATGTGTGTGTATATGAATTTACTTATTAAATTTTATTTCTCAGGATTTCAAAGCCCATTGATCACCCTCGCAAAATTTCATTTAGCCTCCCTGTTAAGACCGAATTATAAAAACTTTCTGAGTACTAATTTTAACTGTTTAAAAGAGAAGCAGTATTTTCAGAGATTGGGGTTTTTTCACTCTAAATTGCAAAGAAACAGTTTCAGATGGATTGGATGCCAGTGTAAGTGTATGCTGAATTAAAGAGTTCACATGCTGACCAATCAGCAGCCTTCCCAGGCTAATTTTGGGTAATCAGATTTTTCTCCCACTTTGCATAGAGAGCAAACAGTAAACATTTTATTTTCTATATTTTCCTTTTATGTCGTTATTCCTATGTTTGATTCTACTGTGATCTAAGATTGTCTTGTTTTGTTTTTTTTTTCCAATAACCTTTCTCTTTTATTTAGCTTGCTTTCACATGCTTAAGATTATTCTTACTATACATAACTCCAGCTTATTAAAGGTTATTATCTTGTACTATTTTCCTTTTAACATATTGACCTGTTAACCTTTTTATTTTAGTTTGCAGTGTTTATATTGTGAAAAAGTCTTCAGAGACAAAAACACACTTAAAGATCACATGAGAAAGAAGCAGCATCGCAGAATCAATGCCAAAAACAAAGAGTATGACAAATTTTATATCATTAATTACTTGGTAAGTAGTTCTATGAATAATTAGTAAATTGACTAAAAAGATACAGACAATATCTAGTTAAAAGTGAGTAATTCCAAACCAGCAATTAGTATAAAGGTCAAAAATCAAGTGAAGGACTCTTAAGAAATATGCTCATTTATGGTATGATATTCTGGATAATTGTCAAACTAAGCACTAGTAAACATTTGTTGTTGAGAACTGATTTTGAGAGATGCAAGAATGGAGCTTGAAGAGATGCTAATCATCATGTCATTAATGCTCAGTCTCTGCTTTAATAACTAGAAGGGAAAATGAGATCGAGCAGTGAGGTCTAACTTGAATGCTATTTGCTTTGAGCTCCTTTTCTACAAACCTTAAGCTGGAAGTGCTCTTCAGAGTATAAATTAAATGCAAAGAGGAGGAAAATTAAAGGTACATAGATGAAAGAAAAAATATTAGTTTTTAGCCTCTGTGTAGGTGTATGTTGCTAAACATTTTTGTATCTCAGACCTCTGAGAGTGTGTACATGTGTGTGTAGCAGATTTTCACTTGCTGCCTTCAACTTGTGAATACAGGAGCTGCTTCAAAAGCTGCTATGTTCTGTACCAGAAATAACTGTAGTTCACCTGAAGTAGTCTTTGTGCCTTCTACGTGTGCGAACATCCAGGATATAAATAGGCATTACTCAGATTTTAATCTGTCCTATTTTAGATTAGGAAATTGATCTAGATGACTGCCCAGAAGTGCAGAGAACCATGGAGTACTACTTGAGAAATTTGAGAGACATACAGGAAGGTCATAACATCAGTACACAGTGGCTATGTCATGTTAATAAGCAGAATATGCCAAAGTAAATAAAACAGCAAGGCTAATGTTCATATACCTAAACTCTTTTCCCACTCTCTCCAGTTGCTGCAAAACTGGTGGCCTTGTCCATGCTTTCTGCTGAGAATGATCTCAAGGGCCTGTATGCTTCCTGAACCACATCCAAGCATGGTCTGGGTCATGCTGCTGATGTGGCCACAGAACATGCAAACTGTTTAATAGTCAGGGCCTTGATCCTCTTTACCTGGTATTCTGGCCAGGACTTTGCAGAGTGTCTTAGTCACTCAGAGACATATTTTTTCAGGTCCTTGCAATTACAGATGATAGTAAATATAATTCAAATAGGATATGTCCAACCACCACAGTGGTTAAAATTGGGCAAGGAGGTCTTCATGTGCAAGATTTGTACCAGTGCATCTTCTGGGAGATGCTTTTTATGATCACAGTCCTATGTCTGGCTACTTTGCTACAGCCATGGGTTTTTTCCAGACATTTTCAGTTGTTGTTCACTACAGTCTACTCAGTGGACTGTTTCTACTCAGTCTTTGTGATCCTTCGAACTGTACCCACATCAGAAGTCTGACATTTCATCTTTTAAAGAAAGGATTTTATTTAAAAATAAAGGATTGAAAACAGACTAAAGACTCTGTCTTAAACATGTATAAGGTAGTTCACTATAAAATGTGTATTTGCACACAGGAAATTTTTAGGAATGTTTTTACACAGTGGAAAGTGTTTGCTTTCCAAACAGCTTTTGATAACCCCCCCCTTTTTTTTTTTTTTTTACACAAATTGAATATTAATAGGAAAAACCTCAGTTTATTCACTAGGAGTTCAGTAGAGTGGCCTTTACATATATATGCATTCCATACTGCACAAATATGGTCTAGAGTAGATTATATTAAATGTGATAGATGTTTTTTTCAAGCTGGATCTGTATTCATTGAATTCTGCTTTCTGGTAATTACTTGACAGAGTGATTTTGCTTCCTCTCCCCTCACAGCTTACTAGAGGATATTTTTTTAATGTGTACTGTGAAGCTTTACTGGCCTACCAATGAGTTTTAAAGATCTGTGTTTTCCATTGCTCCTGAAGTCCAGGGGAATTATATGATTTCACAGACACAGACATGGTCTACATAACTTACCTGCGATGATAGATACAGAGTTTCAGAATTTGCTACTGAATTCACCTTAACCTAAAGATGTAGGCATACAATTTAGCTATTTTTTGTATGCTTTTCACAGAAGTTTTAATTTTGATCTTTCTATATTCCATTTTGATCAAGGGTTTTTTTTCATCAGAAAGAGATTATAAAACTAAGTAGCTCTCCAGTAATAAAAATCAATATTGTCACAGTCTTACACACTTTACCTTTAGGATGTGAACCATAAAGCTTTTCTGTCAGCAATTAGAACTTAAGCTATTTAAATTGATAGTTCTTTATTGCAACCATCTTACAGATGTTATTGTCCTTTTTTTATAATATTCCATGACATATTATCTTCACCAAGCACTGCATAAAATAGTCCTATTAAACTGGAACTGGCAGTTTCCTTTATTTTGTGGCTTTTCTACCAAGAAGTTTTAAGGACTTTTTGTTCAGATGGCCTGAGAATGTCTGCTGAATTGCCTCATGATCTTTTGGCCAGTTCTTACTTGTCTTTTAAGCTGGTGGCAGAGCTCCCGTTGATTTCATTTAGGGCAGTAGTCTTGCCTGCATTCTACCTTTCCGTCCATTCTGCTTTTGACTTCACTCCTGTTTGTAGTGCAGATAAGAGAATCTGTTTTCATAACATTAGTCACCTTTTCTGTCTGTTTGTTGGCAATTTTCTCCCCTAAATTTTTAATTTTGCATAGCAGTGAGTAACATAAGTGTGTATTCCTTTGTAAATATTTTTATATTCTGTGACTTTCTATGACTTCTGTTGTGATCTACTTCCATATAATTTATTTGTCTACCTCCATATCATTGACATGTTCTGTTGCTCGCAGGTTAGCATTAGGATAAATTACACGTAGTAATTTATCCTAAGTAATTTAACTAAGTAGGAGTGGAAGCTTTTTTTTGTCATGTGCATGATAGATTTCTTTCATAAGCAAGTATCAAAATCTTATTATCAGATAGTTATATTGAATTACAGAGAGAGTTTTGCAATTATGCAAATTACTTGAAGGGCAGTGGGGTCACTTCCCCAGTGAATTTGGAGGTCTTTTGTCTGTGTTGTCTAAGTGTGGAAGATTATACTAATCCTGTGCAGAAAGATTTGAAGTACAAATTCAAAGAGACAAACTGATAGTATAGTGTAAAGAACTGAGCAACAGTGCATCCATGATATATAGGTAGGTTATCTTATTTTTCCTTTTTCCAAAAAAAATTCCAACCTAATTTTCTTGGTCCTCTGCCTGTGTTATCCTGTGGCCCCATGACTCACCTTGCACAAAGAGCCAAGTAAAAATGGAAAGGGAAGAACTCTGTAGTCAGTTGTGCCTGCTGGAGGCCATAAAAGAACAAAAGGCAAAAACTGTCTTATGTTGTAGTATACAGAGGACGACCATGGAATAAAAACTGGGCACCTCATGAGGATGGCCTAAATTCAGCTTTTTATTGCTTCATCCAATATATTACATCTTGTTCTCACACAGCTGCACTCACACACTGACTGTAGAATCTTACATACCAAACTATTCTTAGCTCTGTTATCTATATATTATTACCAGCCTTCACATGTGATTGGATGTTCACTTCTTTTTTACATTCTTTCCTTGCTGCTAGGCTCCACGGCCTTGCTGCATCCTCCAACAGTCTTATTCCCAGCCTGAGAAACTGAGGCAGACCTAGATTGGCAAGGCCTTCCTTTCTGTGTTCACCTGATTGTTACCAGCAGCCCTTTAAGTATAGATTATCCTTTGTAGGAAGCATGGATGTCCATTTTCAAATTGACTAATGGTGTTTATCTGTAGTGTGCAGCATCACTATAGTGAATGCACTTATAACTAAGCTAAGAAGCTGAAAAATGGTACCTCCTGCTTACTAGAAAACTTGTTTCACAAAGCCTTTTCTTTTCCTGAAAGATAAAAAGGTATTTTCTCCTTATTGCCAAGCCCTAGGTCGTCATTATTATCTGTTGGAAGCCAGGGGAAGAAGGTGCTATCATGGGGGTTATATATAGTTATATTTAGCCTGTTTTGACTTACACAATGTGTATGTTGTAAAATAGTAGACGGAAATCAGTCATCAGGTGCTGTTAGTTCAAGACTTAATAAAATCCCCCCAAGTGGGAGAAAGCTTCATACTGAAACTCATCCAATGCATATTAACTAATGTTGGGAGAAGGCCATCTCGAGTTCTGCAGCAGTATAAAACAACTCAGATGATCACAGCAAGACAGGTGAGAAGAAGGATGAGAGGAAATTTGCAGGGGAAAGCAGCATCTGTTTGGAGTTTCTGAGCTCCACAGGCCTGGAACTCTATTTGCATGTATTTCAGCAACTGGTCTTTAGGGAAAACTGCTTGAGATACCAGCTGCTGTTTCTGGTTTCTCCTATCTCAGCACTTCTTTTCAAGCTGAGGTGTGTTGCCTCAGTGAGGCACACAGACTTTCTCCCCATAGAACCTTTAAAATTGCACTCAAGGTAAATTGTCAGTGAGACATTTCATCTATGTGCATTTAGACTTCATTTTGGAAGAGAAAATAATCAAATCACACACATTTGCGTGCTCTTCTTGCTTTTCTATAGGATCATCCTCTCTGTGAGATACACAGTAAAAAATGTTTTTTTCTTGGATATATTGCAAGGCCTTCAGTTTTTTTAATTATGCATTTTCTACTGTTTGAACTATTAGCAATGTCAAATCTTCTTTTTTCTCTGGTTTTGTTAAGAATTTCTTGGGAATCTCAAGAGAAGATTGCTGGGAGCTCTTGGATCTTGGATGAAAGAGCAAAGAAAGTTGAATGCTTAACAAAGGCACTTTTGGTCCCAGATGCCCATCAAGCTGTAGAACTGAAAAAGAGTTTTTAAAAAAAAACTATGAAAAATAAAATAAAAAAAACCCTATAAGAGTTTTAAGAATGTTTCAAAGAGCTCTTTTCCACCCAATTGCTTAGCTTCAGTCTCTTTGCACTTTCATCACAGTGTCCCCAGTTATCCATTTACCGTGCAATTTTCCAGTGATACAAGACCGGGTTAGCTTTTTCCTTTTTCCCCTTTTTTTTTTTCTCCTCTGAATACAAATAGAGGGGTGAAACAGAGACCTCTTACAAGATCCTACTCTACTTTCTTCACAGAAACACCAGAAAGAAACAGCATTAATAATAAAGTTTGTGCATGGGTTTTCCCTTCCACCTTTTAATGAAACGTGAAACTTAATACTGGCCATTGTGTTGAACATAGTCTTTTGTGCTCATATACTTCAAGCTGGTAAGGGGAAAAATTGTGAGCATTTGTCTTCTTTTTGCAGTGGTTGTGAGCCACTATCCACTCATTAAGGTGTTAACATTAGCAGACATAGGAAACTAGTGTGCAGCTGGGAGAACATGTGGTGAGAGATGTTTATGGCTTCATGTTATCTCACAGTAATGGTGACATTAATGAGTCTCCCCTCTAACTCAGAGAGTTTACACACTGCCATGTAGCATCACTGAATTAATTATTGAATTTTCATTTTGTAACATCTGATGGCATTAGCTTTAGAGCTGTCTAGAGACAATTGTTTATCATTTTCCTGATAGACACTAACAACTTTAAAGATTCTCATAAAATTATTAGATAAGTAAAATATTTTTCTTCTTTTTCCAAACAACCATAAAGGCAGTAATAATACTTGTTACCTAGGATGTTATTAAATATATTTATTACAAAGAATATTTGAATACAATTAATTAAAGTATTATCCTTTTATTAGCTACCTTTTTTTTAATGAGGACAAGATCGTCAACTTTGTGAGTCCTTCACAGCCATCAAAAATATGAGTTAAAAAATACTATTCTGATTACTGGTTAGTTTGCATGGGTTTATTTTTAAAGACAGGAAAAATCCAAGAAAAGGAAAACTCTACCTGAAGATCATTGCTGGTATTTCAGTAGAGCTCTTCAGCTTCTTATTGTCTGTTATTTATATCTCAGTCATGCTGAGAGTGCTTGCTATTGTGCTGAATGCAGCACAAATGTATTGTGATATACTTTGTACTGAAGGTCTTGAAGATATAAATAAACAACACCAAAAGTAAAAGGAAGAACAGAACACAATGAATAGATGTGCTCACATTCACGAGGAGAGGATGGAAGACAGACAGGAGTCTAACTCAGAGGTCTATGCCCTGGCTCACGCTGCCGTGTTGGAGTACTCTGAAGCTTAGTTTACCATGTGTTTTTACTGACATAGCCTTGAACAAGAAACAAGCACTGGCTGGTGTAGCTGTGCCAACAAAAGTCTCAGGTGTGCCAGCTGCATTAAGCAGCATATGCTGCATGAAGAGCAAGGTAGACAGATTGGATTGAGCAAGTGTGAGGGCAAACTTGAGACAGTGATAACATACCCACCTCAGGAACACCTTGTAGTCTTGCAATACTCTACTGTTCTTGAGAACTGTGTGCCAAATCATCTTCTTCAAAGACAGAGGGTGGGGAATGCCCCATTAAAAGACACAAATAATTAGTATTTTAAAAATCATTGCTAAAGCAGTGCTGTATGACTGCCATTAACTCACAGCAGTACTGAAGTGATCTAGAGTAAGTTATTGTGACTTCTGAGGTGTTCATTCAGTTGATTGACAAAATGTGATGTGAATCAGGAAATGTTTTATTGTTTTCTTTCCTTTTTTTGTCTCCAGGAATTTGGAAAGTCCTGGGAGGAAGTGCAGTCAGAGGACGACCGGGAATTACTAGATAACCTAGAAGAGTAAGAGTTACTTATGTGCCCATTACAAAGGCTTGCAAGACCATTATGTTTGAAAGTAGTTACAGGGAAGATGCTGCGTATAGTTAGTGCACACTTAAAATTCATCTAAGCCAATCAAATCAATTCCAAATTGTTCTCATTAAAAGCATATCTCAGCAATGAGGGCTGTAAGCTTCATATTTCAACCATTAGCCTATTTTTCTTTTGGCTAGGGCTCAAACAAGAGCCTTCTGGATTTGTAATGATGTAGACAAAATTTTTTCTTTTTTTTTACTTTTGTAACAAAAAACCAGCTGAACAGGTTTTGCTCAAATTTAAATATCAGGAGTAAGCATCAAAAATGTCAGCATGAGAAAGAAATTGTAGGAAAAAATCTGATAAAAAGGTAATAACTAGAGATTAAAGCAGGATTTCAAATGAAGCTTTTCGGCGGTGCTGATTGAGAGTAACATCCATCTCATCTGCATTCTTCTGTAGTCCAGGCCCTCAGATCAGTGCAGAGGTGGTTTCCTTGGCTGTAGGAAATGGAATAAGCAGGAAGTAAATGGGTATCGGGATCCTTGATCTTCCTAGTTCTCTCTGTGACTTGAGCTTTATTTTACTTGATTATACCTGGTTGCAGGAATATTTCAATTTCTCAGCAGTAATAGGGTTTTAAATGGATCTGTTGGTAAAGTATTCTCTGTGTGCATGTCTAAATGTAGCATTAATGAGTATTTTAGAAATAATTAATATTTAAGAAGTAAATAACAGAGTAAGCTCTGCCTGATGACTATGACTTTGGCTGATCTATTGAATTATTAGAAAGGTATAAAATAATTTTAAAAGATTTTATAAAAATATACAATGAAAGCAATATTTGATGACTTGTCAAACTGAATAGAAATTGAAGTTAATATCCTGTTTGTTAGTGCAAACAGTTTCAAGTAGGACTTAATTCCTGTCTACACAGAAATTACCCAGCAGTATCTACTCAGTTATTCTTGAATTTGTAATATTTTTTAGACTGTAAACCAGATTGTAATCATATATCCAGCTATAAATCCACACTGTATCTTACCCCCTTTAAAGGATTCAGTTTGCCTGTATTTAGTTCTAGTCCTGTAACTGCAGAAGTACCCTTTCACAAAATGTCTCTTCCCTTTTCCACAATTAAACAAATCTTTTTGACTTTTATTCATAAGAGACTGGTCTGACTGGGAAGAGCATCCTGTGTGTGCAGTTTGTCTGTTTTGTGAACAACAAGCAGACACCACAGAAAAACTGTATCTTCACATGCAGGTAAGACTTGTTTTAAATAACAGTTTTTTCATCAGTTTGGAATTAAAAATTGTGTTTGTAATGTCTTTGTTAAGATCAAATCAGCTGCTGCGTTAGAATGCCCTCTTCAGTACAGAACTAAAGTACTGCATGTGTCTTCAGCATATGTTCTCTAAAATATGCAGAGGAGTCCAGTTTTACATTAGAGTATGATTAGCTGTTATTTGTGAGTGCACAGACTGTTACAGACAGTAAAGAAGCAGCATCTTTAATATCATAGTGGCTTGATGATTAAATGTATTTAATGGTTAGCATCTATGTTTTAGTTTTATTAAACTAGTTAACAGGAGCATTACAGTTTGACAGAATATGAAAGTTTCCGATGAAACAAAACTTTGGGGATTTGTTTCATGTATTAATGTTTGTATCTCTATATGCTTATGTCTGTGTCAGTCTATGAGAAGCTAAGCTGGTTTTAACTTGAAACAGTAGAAGTAGTTGAAATAGATATTTTTTCTTTTCTTTTTTTTTCTCCAGAAATCACATGGATTTGACTTTCCTAAAATAAAGTCAGAGCATGGTGAGTAAGAGGTGTTGTAATTGTCAGCATTTGCCACTAGTGTGGAGAAAACCACATCATAAGAATAGAGGAAAACATCTTTATCAGTTTTATTTTTGCATGAACATTTAACTTTTCCATTATGGAAACTGTCTCTGTGAGCTTACTAAAGCAAGCCAAGGACATTTTATTTTTCTGAAACTGTTGTTAGTGCCAAGGATGCGTGCTGTTTTCTTTAGAACCACTTGATTCTTTTGCAGAGTGGCTTCTACAGAGTCCCAGGCCTGGCTGCTGGAGCCCTGGATATTGTTATTATGCCTCTTAATACTTTCTTGCAACGTACAAGGCTGTACTTTAAGCTTTGTTTGACCAGTGTTGCTTTCTGCTGTAGAACAGAATCATTTAGGTTGGGAAAGACCTTTAAGATCATTGAGTCCAACCATTAAAGCACCACTGCCAAGTTCACCACTAAACTATGTCTCTTTAAGTGCCACATCCACACCTTTCCAATATATCCAGGGATAGTGACTCAACCGCTTCTCTGAGCAACCTGTTCCAATGTTTGGCAAGCCTTTCAGTGAAGAAATTTTTCCTAATATTGAACTTAAACCTCCCCATTATTGTTTGTTACCTGGCAGAAGAGACCAATGCCCATCTGGCTACAACCTCCTTTCAGGTAGATGTAGAGAGTGATAAGGTCGCCCCTAAGTCTCCTTTTCTCCAAGTGAAGCAGGGTTCAGTCATTGCCCCGGTCTTGCTGGACACGCTATTTATGATACAAGGCAGGATGCCATTGGCCTTCTTTGCCACCTTGGTACACTGCTGCCTCATGTTCAGCTGGCTGTCAACCAACGCCTCCAGGTCCTTTTCCATCAGGAAGCTTCCCCAAGCCTGTGACACTGCATGGGGTTGTGTGTCCCAAGTGTAGGACCCAGCACTTTGCATTGTTGAACATCAGACTTTGGCATCCTGCCCCAGGCCTATATCTAGTGAGCCCGGGTTTATCCCTTTCCCCCTTCAAATCTAGTTTAAAGCTGTCTCAATGACTCCTGCTAACTCCTGTGCAAAGATCCTTTTCCCCCTTTGAGACAGGTGTACCCTGTCTGTCACCAGCAGGCCTGGGGTCATGTTGACCAATCCATGATCAAAACTCCCAAATTCTTCCAGTGACAGTGGGCTCAGAGCCAGATACTGATCTGCTTGCTCTTCCTGTTTCTTCCCTCATTATTTGCTGCAACTGGAAGGACAGAGAACAGTACTTGTGCTTCTGATCCCTTAACCAGTCGTCCTAAGGTCCTGAAGTCTCTTGATTGCCTTCATCGCTGCCTACCTGAAAAATCAAAAACTAATAATTACCCGTGAGGGTAGTAAGCTTTCTCGTCACACCTTTAACCTGTGCCTCAAGGAGGCAGCAGACTTCCCCAAGAAGTCAGTCTGGTTGGCATATTGGACCTTCTGTTCCCTCCAAAAGGGAATCTTGTATGACAATGATGTGTCTTTTTTTCTTTATGGAAGTGATTTTTTATCCAGGACATAGGCTGACTTAACCCCAGAGACACTTTCCTGCTGGATGAACCATTGTCCTCATCATTGTTGGGTTCCACTTGCAGAGGCTCACACCTGTTACTCTGGGGAACCTGGACAGGTGGGGCTCTCACAGAGGAGATATGCCTGCCTCACAGGGCAGCGACTTGTTGCCATTATGCTCTGTCCCTTAAGCCACTGTGCTCAGGCAGGTGGAGGGAGTGCAGGGAATCCTCCATATCATGTATCCTGTCTTCCCACTGGGCCTGTCCCAAGGAAGGCAGGATGGGATTCCAGTAGTCTGTCTCTTTCTCATTTGCTGATATTCCTCAACCTACTTGACTCCCCCTGGAGCTCTGTCACTAAACTTAGAGACTTAGACTGAGAAGAAGCAAAGTGTTTGCAGTTTTTACACTGAAAGAAGGGTTAGTTTCCCTGCAGTAGGAAAAAGCATTTGTTCAGCTAATTTGCTAAGTTACAGCATTCAGGCAGCGCTAGTCTTCAGTAAACTCTTATCAATCTTAATGCTTAATCCAAGAAAGCATTTTTAAATTAAGTTTTACGTTTCCCAAGTGCTTGTTTGCTACCATCTCTCTCCCAGGTCTGAACTTTTATCAGCAAGTAAAGCTAGTGAATTTCATCAGAAGAGAAATCCATCACTGTCGTTGTTACAACTGCCAGGAGAAATTTCAGTCCAAAGGGGTATTGATAAGTCATATGGAAGAGACCAAACACATTGCATTCCTGCCAGCCAGATCTACATGGGATCAACCACAGTAAGAGCAAACATATTTCTTTCAGCATTTATACTTTTATGTGATAGTATCTGTGAAACAGTAAGTTGAAAGTTCTGAATTTTGCCAATATAACAGTGCCCTGAGGTCCCCAGCTTTACTGGTCCAGATAAAATAATAAGTGTTCTCAAAACTACTCAGAATTAGAAATCTCTACAGTCTGAAGCTAAAATGAATGTGAGATACTGCTCATCTAGTTGCATTCAGGATGCACTGTTGCCATACATGGGATCTGCATTTTAAAGTCAATATACTAGAGAAGTTTGTTGTTGCAAAACTGTTGTAGAACCACATCAAACCACTTCTTTTGCATGTCTAATGTAGATGTATTCATGATATCTACCTAACTTTGGGCATCAAGTTGGTTGTTTCCCCATAGTTTTTCCACAGAAAATAGAGATAGCACATAACAAAATGCTGGTTCAGACTCTAAGTAGGCTGTATAGGTCCAGGGGATGATGCTCTACTGGGTAGTAGAGCACAGGGAGTGTTCTAACTCAAACACCTCAGTTGAGCATTTGTTGTGGGACAAATCTGTATCTGCAGTTTCAGTTGTGGCAATATAAAGGTGAAGAAAGAGGGGAAGGGCTTGTGTGTTGTCAGCTCTTCTCTATGACTGCTACATACCGGTTGATTTTTTGGGTGTTCTGCTTACTGTCATTCCAGACAACCAGACTTGCTCATTTTTCCTTTTTTAAAAATCTAATCTCATTTAAAAATAGAATCTCAGTCTCTCAAACAAAATATGTGAATATCTAGTAATTATGTCTTGTTACTTTCAGGTATTATTTTCCTACCTATGAAAACGATACACTGCTGTGCACACTGTCAGACAGTGAAGATGTGATAACTGAGGATCAAAGTGAAGAAGTCCCTGTTATAAGCGAAGATATATCCAGTCTAAAAGCTCTCAAACAGAGCAGTGTCTTAAATCAGCTCCTGTGTAAAGAGAACAAGAGTCGGGAGAAATTTTGAAGTACAGTTTGCTGACCTTCAGTGCTTTTCTGCCAGACAAAAAAAAATCCATTATTTCACTAATATTGGAATACAGTTTAACTCAACTATTAGTATTACTGGACAAATAATAGAAAATGAATGCTAAATAAAATTTAAGTGTTAACTTGGTTGGTTTGTCAAATATTGTTAGTATTATTTAGAAATTTTTCATCTTTTTGAATTTTTTTTTCTAAATAGATCAAAATCAGAGTTCTATTCTAAGGCATGAAATGCATGAACAATTGAGACAATGTGTGATACATGATACATGAGTGACTCTTCTATGTGTTATTGCTGTTGAAGAGCAAATGGAAAATTTAATTCTTGGTCTGTTATGTAAAGCAAATTTTGCTATTTTTAACCTTAGACCTCCTGCAAAGGGAAAGCAGATCTGTATATCTCAATTATTTATCATCAATATATAAGATATATGGTGCCTGTTCTGAAAACTAGCTCAGAAACATCCCTCTGCCTGGCCCATGGATATCTGATTGCATAGAAAGCTGCCAATCTGAAGCCTAAAAAAGCATAGGACCAGTTGCAATATTTTGATGTTTGCATCAAAAATCCAAAGAATTTAAAGTTGACCTCTTGTGTATGGTTGTGAACTGAGATGTAAAAGAATGACTTAGGGGATTGCAGACACATAAATCCAAATTAAATCCTAAAAATCTCAAGTCCAAAAAAGTTACTGTATTTCCTTTAATTCTGAACTTTAAAGTTCCCAGAGTAACAGAAAGTCTTCAGCATGTCCAGAAAGCACCTCAAACTTGACAGGGCAAAGCTGCTCAGAGCATAGGTCCTGCTGGGATAATCTAAACTAAGTATTCCTGCCACTTGCCTCTGAAATCTTAAGTAGCTGCAGAATTCAGGTCTGGTTTTCCATAATACGTATAACCGCTTTCAAAACTGGAGTACATTCTTTTTTTTTTCTGTAGGTCAGTTTTGGAGCACTTGCTGAAAATATGGGAGTCTCAGCTCAGTGCCTTTCCCTGACAGAGAAGATTCAAAGCCATAGCTTTGCCTTTGCACAGCCCTCTTTACCTGAAATGCATTACTGTTAATAAGAGTTGTTGTTGTTTGTCTTTTTGTGGTGATTGAGAATTATAAAGCAGTCCCTGGGAGCAGGGGCTAAAGTGAAAAATCTTTACCCGTGTTCTGCTAAGCTTCCATGTCCAGTCTAATTCACCCTGCAATCTATATGCATCAGTTTCTTCTCAGTCGCACTGAACTTGTTTTCTCCTACCATTACATATCACCCTGTAGCACCTCATTTTGCTTCCCCTTCCTTATTTTCTCTTGTGCCCAGGTGCTCTGGAGATAAGAAAAACAAGATGCTGTAAATGTACAGAGTAAGTCAGATCATCCACATAACTGTACAGTGAAGCAGAAGCGATATCTGACTCTGTCAAGAGGAAATGGGATAGAAGTAGTTCAACAGCTGCTGAGAATACAGACAAAAAAAAGGGGACACGTGTAGTCATACGTGTGCGTTGGTACAAAAATTTAGGAGGTACAACCCCAATATTTTAGAACTAGAATGTCTGACCATCTTAAAGAAGCTGTAGTCTGTACTTCTTGCATTTGTAATATTCTTAATTTCATACAGTAATTGCAACAGCTGTTGCTGCTTTTTATCCCCCACAAAAGTAATTTTTTTCCCAAGCATTTATTTTCTTCCTAACTTAGAAATTGATTTCAGTCTTTGCTTTTCAGTCAGATCCTTAGCTGAGATGGGAGTAGGAGTTAATGGGGTTTACATTACTGGTAAGTGTATTGGGCAATGGAAAAATCAGCGCAAAACTATGGCAGCAGCACATGAGTGAGTTTTATGGCAAGTCCATCTCAGAAGGGCACAATAAGGGAAAGATAAAGTTTTACTGATATATCATAAAGTGAGATTACGAAACATTTTCTAATGATAAAGACTGTGATGCTGCGTCAGATCCCTACAAAATTAAAACATTGTTAGCAATATGAAACAACTGCTGTTCCTGGTTCTGAGAGAAATTTGAAATAGCATTTTTCCATATAGAATTAAGAGAATATCTAAAGAGAAATTGTATGAATAACAGGGAGTGGTTGTCTGTTTTGAGTTAAGAGAAAAAGGGACTTGGGAAAAATTTATCAGCAGTATATAACTGTTCACTGAATAAGGAACATGAGGAATCAGATTAGGGTAGAGCTTGTTACTTCAGATACAAAGAGCAGGCAAGAAAATAGGTTTAAGTCTTTGTATGTTCACAGAGAGAATTGGGTATGGTTTCTAGAGTAAAATCGAGCATTTTCATTTAGCACAGTGATGCTTCTAATGGACATTTTGCTGGAGCATACTTATTTGTTTATATATAGGGTATTATATATATGTTTATATAATTTTCCCTAGGCATTCTTGTCCTCTTATCTGTTTTAAAACTGAAATTATCTTCTTGTCACAAGTTGGGGACCTGGTAATGACTTTATACAGTGTACAGGCTCAGCTGTTATGTGAGCAAATACGGTCTGCTAACAAAAAAACATTTTTGGAAGCATACAACAAAAATAATATAATAATGCCATAAGTCATGGAGTGGACAGAGTTGGGGTTGGCAAAGGCTCTGAGGAGAATCAGATCAGAAGAATGAGTGCTGCTGATTGGTATGAAAAAATCCACGCTAAGTCCAATGCACATTTCTTAAAATAATATTTCCTCCTGGCCTAGACCCTGACTCCTTATACACACTCACTTTGCTGTATCTAAAGCCGTGCCCATGTTTAGAAGGACCTCGATTAAAGGAGGAAAACCACTTGTGTCCCAGTGACTTTTACAAACATCTTAATAATGTCTGTGTCTCTTCACAAAGAGATTTTGTTAAGTCACAATGCTTTCTGAGTCTTAGCTACAATACAACAACTGCAGTGTCAGTTGGTCAAATTATGCCCTCATCTCTCTCTGCCAGATGTGTCAAATTTGGTTAGATAACAACTGTCACATGGAACAGGTAATTTGTAACCCTAGAATGAATTACTGCTTCCATGTGATATTCATTAAAACCAGCTGCTATAGAAATACTACATGCAGCAGTGGTTGCATGTAAAATTAATTCCTTTTCTCCATGAGCACTGAATGTGCTGTTCTTCCTAGTGGGTTTTTTTCCCTTTCTTTTGGAAATTTTCTGCTGCTAAGCCATGTTCAATCTGATTTCTTTCTCCAGTGAAATTTTTAGTTGCTTCTTGAATTTGATTTTGCATCTTTTGCCATAATTCTTGCTCATGAAGATACAGACAAAGATTACTATGTAACCCCTTAGTTGAAGTCACATTTTATATTTTACATCCCTGATAAATTCACTCTGTCCATAAGAAGAGCAGGGGAATTTAGGATATTTGCAACTAAAAATACATCAGTTGTGTTTTAACAAATTTAGATAGAAATAAAAGTATTTTTCTTCCACAAATGTTCCTTGGAACGCAGTTCTCTCCATCTGCCTTCCCATCCTGAGACCAAAAAGCTGAATATGTGTAGATTACATATGAGTCTAATGTCTAACCTTCCATTATGATCAATAAATGTAGTCTATGGGTCCTAGAGTCGTTTAGCTCGCCTTAAAGAAGTGTCAGTGCCAGACCTGTAGTATTACTGCTGAGCACCTGAACAGTGGTAAGCTGCAAAAGTGATTCTTTAGTATGAACGCAAGCTCAAAATATCAAATTCTGAGAGGGTCATACAGTGCATTTGTGTATCACATCACATCACATGAGACTGTAGTGAACTCCCTCAGAGTAATTATAGGCAGACTTCTGCCACAGCCTTTAGCCACAGCTTCACTGAGTGGTACAACACTTTTTATTTCTATAGTCTCTGGAAACATCAGAACAATATAGGAATAAATAATGCAGGAATTGCTCTAATTGCTCATTAGAGAGTCTGTCTTTGTAAACTGCCTGCACAGCTTGGCAGAGCTGAGTACTGCTTTAACCTTTAGATGGTTTTAGCTTTAAACTTCCAATTGTATTGAGGTCGTTTTGTTATTTTCTTTTGCACATCTCTCTTCACTTATGGAAATATTGCTATAAATCTTCATATTTGACCTGTTTTAATAAACTGATACTTTTGTTTGAATCTAGGTGAAATAAGAGCAAATAAGCAAGGATAAAGCTTGGCATTTGTGAAGAAGGATCATGAATGTGTGATGATGCTGGCCTCCTGTAGTTTTACAGACAGTCACTTGCCGTGCATCCTTTGGCAAATATTGCTACTTCCCTCTGCCTCGGTTTCCTAAACAGCAAGACTGTGATTATATAAATAACAACTGCCAGAAAAAAAGTTGCCTTGAAGACAGGATTGCAATACATACAGCTATGCATACAGCTTATCTGCATTAGTCAGGCTTTCATATTTAAAATATTTAGTTCAAAAGGTGACTAGATCAACCACAGCCAAAAGAGTTACTCATGGAAGAAGAAGAAACTTAATTTTGGAATTACATTCCCATAAGGACACCAAAGTAAGATATTTTGAAAATTACATTTTTTACGAAGAAGGGTTAACTTCTGAATCAGATTTTCAGAATACGTCTGATTTGCCCTGACCTGAGGTTTTCAAGTAGGAAGTGAATTGTAAAAATCCTCTGCTTTCAGTCACATTACAGATCTTCAAAATGTTCAGTTGCGTACTAAGGAAGATTGATTTTCTGTAAAAAATCTCTGCATAGCAGAGAGAAGCCGTAGTTCACACAGATTAGAGAAGTTCATGCTAGTCTGTTCTAGCCTTGAAACGTATAAACCCATGAGTTTGCTGAGATGAAAAAAAAAAAAAAGGCAAAATACTGTACATCCCTTAATTCACTTAGTTGTTCCATTGATTTATAAATGGTCTCTAGTTAAAATCCGAGCTCTCTAAGGACTTTTCAAGTGAAGGTTTAATATTTTCCTCATACAGTATACACTTGGGAGGTAGATAAGATTTCTCAGTATTCCCTAAGCTTGTGTTATTACACATACCTTGCCTTTCCTTCAGTGTAGGAAAGTTCCTGCTGCCCCCAAGTAGACTCTGATGACACTGGGAAGTTGTCTAAATGCCCCTAATGACTGGTTTGAAATCAGATAGATAGGATTCCAATCAATATCTAAAAATGAGTGTCCCCA